ACTTTTTAACCATGTGACTAGTGACATGTGAATCAATGTATGCATTCACTTAATGCTGTAATTTCTTCACATTTTTGCTTGTTTATCGATTTTTTAAGTACAAATAGGGAGTTCAAAGGCGTAAGCCTATTTCCCTCAAATACACTGACTGACTGACTGACTGACTGATGTTTGGGTTTTGTTAGGCCAACCAAATAAACCAAAGAGCCTTGAATATCACCCATTTTATGGTCGTCCTTTGACCGCTTCAGATACTTTTTCGAACTTAGACAATGAAACGTCTGCGAGCTTGTATGACGTTTTCCGAATGCGGTTTCATAAGTGTTAAAGAAGTCTTGTTTATTCCAATTGTCCTCTCAGAAGGAAGAAAATCACAAACCGCCCAAAATGGATAAACCCGGACTTGAAGGCCTCTTTCAGAAAAAGGAATCGTCTGTGGAGGCGTTACAGACTAACTGGCTCCGACGAGCACTTACAGGAATATAAGCGGCAACGAAACGTCTGTAAAAGTGAGGCCTCAAAGCTGCGAAAGAAGTTTGAACTAAACATCCTCCGAAATTCGTTGGAGCATCCGAAAATTCTATATGGTCATATACGAATTACCAAAAGGACTCAGGAGCTACTCCCTGTCCTCAGGTCTGCAGATGGAAAAGTGGAGATTGATGACCAGGTTAAAGCGTCCCTCCTTTCCGACTTCTTTCAGTCCGTCTTCACCCGAGAACCTAGTTCTATATTTGCCCATCCATCCATTCGCCAAACAACCTCTCCTCCCAGTACCCTTCCCCATACTATCCCCTCCCTACCTTCCTTAACCGAGGAACCACTCTTTTCATCTACCATAGTTAGGGCCGAGCTACTCCGGCTGAAACCTGCCAAATCGCCTGGCCCAGATAGTATTCCCGCCCTAGCACTTCGTGAACTTGCTAATGAACTGTGCAAACCCTTATCCGCAATATTTCAAAAGTCATTTGAAGACGGCGAGCTACCGGAAGAATGGAAGTGCGCACTCATTACTCCGATGCATGAAGGAGGCTCAAGACTTGACTGCGGAAATTATCGTCCTGTCAGTCTTACTTGCATCGCGTGTTAAATAATGGAACGCATTATCAAAAGACACTTGATGAAATACCTGGAACAGAACAAAATGTTGTGCGATGCCCAACACGGCTTTCGCCCAGGGCGCTCCTGCCTAACGAGTGTTCTTTACTCGCACGAGAAATGGACACAAGCTACCGATAAGGGTTTTCCAGTAGATGTCATATTTTTTGACTTCAAGAAGGCCTTTGACAGTGTCCCACACAGGCTTCTTTTACAAAAGATCTGGGATGTAGGGATTCAAGGGAGAATGTTTAAGTGGATCAGGAGTTTTCTGTCCTCCAGACTACAAGGAGTCGTCGTTAGTAATTCTACCTCTGAATGGATAAAGGTGGAAAGTGGTGTCCCACAGGGTTCTGTCTTAGGCCCAGTACTCTTCCTGATTTATGTTAATGACTGCATCAGCGAAGTGAATTGCGAGGCTCTCATGTTCGCGGATGACATAAAAATATGGAGTGAAGTCAAATGCGATGATGACGCAGAGAAGTTGCAGTCGAACATCAACAAATTGTGTGCTTGGTCGAACAGATGGCTTTTGAAGTTTAACGTGTCCAAATGCGTGGTTTTGCACCTGAACACCGGCCGCAATGCCTCTCCTAAACACCAGTACTATATTGACGGGACGAGGTTAGAAACTGTGGAAAGACACAGAGATCTGGGTGTATGGACGACCACAAATCTATCGCCATCAGAACACTGTAGAAAGATGGTTCAGAAGGCAACTAGCACTCTACACTGGATCAGACGTGCATTTAAAATATTTCCTCCCGAACTTTCCGAAAGACTCTTGGGTGTCTTTGTAAGACCTCATCTAGAGTATGGAATGCCAGCAGCTTCACCATGGATGAGGAAGGATATCAACTTACTCGAACAGGTGCAACGCAGAGCGACAAAGATGGTCGACGGTCTAAAGCATTTGTCTTATCAGGAGAGGCTGAATTTGCTTGGCCTATTCCCTCTCTCTTATAGACAAATAAACTGCAGTCTACTCTGGACCTTCTGCATTGTTCGCGGCCAGGGTTGCTCATTAAGAGCAGAGGACTTCTTTGAGTTCGCCCGTACAAACCTACTACGCGGCCATGCATACAAAGTCGGGAATGAGCGCACGCGTTTAGACCGACGAAAATTTTCATTCAGCCAGCGGGTTGTCAGGCCGTGGAACTCGCTTCCAAGCGAGATTGTGACGGCTGACACAGTTTGTGTGTTTAAAAGAAAACTTGCTCGTTTGGTTTTCGACAGAAATCGGCTTGTACAGCATGACTATGCACAGCCAGTTTTGTAAAATCTGTCATATACAATCTTCCGCACTAATTTACATTGACCCTATTCACTACCTTATGATTACGATTGAACTGTGACACAATCACATTTTAAACGCCTGCAATTTAATTTTATTTTTGAGTATGAATCTGCGAAAGCACTGTACATAAATATGGTCATCAAGGGCTCTGCCTGTAACCCTTCAATATACATACATACATCAAAATCCAATAACAGATCACTTGTTAGGATGCAGCACAGTTATTGCGCTTTTTACAGCCCCCGAGCAGTGGCAGACACTTTTAGGATTTATGTTATCAACACTTGGAGACCATTTTGAGCTACCAAGTCCTAGAAATCCGCACCGCTGAGAAAATAGTTCTACGTATCAACAAATTTAGCTAGCTTACTTAAACAAAGTGTGGCAATGTACTGGTGTTGAACAACAGAAGCCAACGATATAATCACTGCCGCAACCGATTTCGGCTGATCTTCAGCCTGCAAATGTCGGTAGATCTCCGGTTGACACTCCATACTTCTGCATTGACACCGAACACTGCTGTTTCGCGGTAAAATCCCGTGCGAAATTGTCCACATAGGTCAGGAGGAAAATTGGATCAGCATTGACGTCGAGAGAATTTGAGTCTTGACCAAACACGACTGGCTTTAACTTGACTGGTGCAAACATCATGGTGCCGAATCGCAAGGGCCTGTCCGGTGCACTTGTGGAAGTTAACTTAATTCACAGCAAGATGCGAAATTTTAACAAGGCATCCTCATTTATACTAACGGGTTTTGTGATAGACACTTTCCCACTCACCAAAACTTTGACTGTTTTCTATAAAATAAGTTGCAAGTAGAGGAACAGAAGCTGCGTTAGGGAAGCTAAGTGAAAATAGCAGCCCCGCCTGCACAAGCTTAAATCGACAACTCGGAGACAAGACAAGAACTCTCTGCATGCAGAGCACGTGAGTGCAATTGGCCATATTCCTTACCTTTAACGAGCAAAAAACCTGTGCCATGGCAATTCAAGGACAGAACGACAGATGCTCGACACATGGTATTCAAATGAACAGACCCAGATTGCGTGCAACCGTTCAGTTCAGTTCTGTTCAGTTTATTGAGGGAAATAGGGGTAAGCCTTTGAGTACCCTATTTGCAACGTAAAAAAATTGTGCTGTACAGATAAATGTTCTGGGCTGAAATAGTTCGAACACGCCCATAATGGTGGGACAAAATGAGAAGGAGTTATAGGGGGTGAGCTCGACTTCTCATCGTTCTTGGTCATTTCGGAACATAAATATGTCCAGATTCTTCTTAAAACTTTGTATAGATGGTGACATCACAACATCTGCGGGAAGCTCATTCCGTGGTTTGACTACCCGAACCGAGAAGGAGAACTTCCGCACATCCAGCCGTGCCTGCTGAGTGCGCAGTTCGAATCAACATTATTTAAAATAAGCAATTCCTTGAATAATTTAATAGGATTGGTTTAAATTATGATTCTTTGTTAGATAATTTTTATTAAAGACCCGTCGGGGTCCCATCAAAGCAAGTTAAAATAAATTTGCATGCGAGTTTTAGACGAGGTAGGCCGAATCTTTACAAAATGCAATTCCTAGTTTCTGAATTAGAAGTCCATTGAGAAACATGATGATTGAGGGGTGAAAAAAAACTCCTTACAAAAAGTTAAAAATGATTGGATTAATTTTACAGGAGAAAAAACCCCTCCATAAAAACAATAACAGAAAAAGTCGAGCAGGACTGGCCTGTAGGTGGCGGTATATAACTGAATGTTGTCGGTCATCGTCAGGGTAGCAATAAATGTCAGCCTTGATGGGTACGAATGTGGGTCAGACAGGACTGGCTTGCAAATGGCATTGTATACGGGATTCACAATTGAGATTGTCTGGGCCTGATTGGTACGCCGCGTCAAAGAGGCCAGACGAGAGGAACCGAGATGCAATCGGCCACAGCGCGCTTCGAGCTCAGCCGAGCAGTGAGGAAGGGAGGTACGACCGAACTACTAGTAGACAGTGAATACTGAGGGTTCCGCCCTGAGCGTCGACAGACCGCATGAAGTCGGAATGCGGGAGATGACATCAAAAACCGCGAAAATTGTCGCTATGGGGTGGGGAAGGATAGCAATGGATTTAGAAACCAATTAAAAACAGGGGTTTCTAATGATATAATTAAGAGTTACC